TGCTGGGGCCCAGACAGCCGGGCAGCTGTGCTTGAAAAGGGAATCGGGAATAAAGGGTCTTGCCTTTGGTCTGAATGTCCTCAGAGGACGAACCTATAAAAGCTATCATTTACTGTTCAAATTAGATGGATGTGAATTCTGAAACCTGATTAAAGAAAGATTTAAAAAGTCATAAATAATTGCAACATTTACCTTCATCATTTGTACTTCTAGTAGGTAAATGGTTAAAAATGGTAAGTTATTTCAAAGGTTATTTTACCATTTTAAAATGTAGATGTGACAACTTTAAAAGTCTCTCAGACGTAGTTCTAAGCACAGTCGGACTCCACAGGAGTTGTTTGTTTTTGCCAGACGTCCCTAACGACTGGACAGCTGTCAGCAACCACAAGCGGCCCAACTGCTGTTACCACACCGGCCACACCTGCGCCCGGGAGGGCCCCCCCTCCCCTCTCCTCATTGCGGGGACCTCAGCAGTCAGTGGGGTAGAGGGTATCACAGGACAGGAGAGTTCGTTACCAAAACCCCTGGAGGTTATTTTGACACAGAAATGCCATTTTAAAACTTTAAAAAGGGTTACATGCACACAATTACAAAATTCAAACAGTAAAGGCTTTTTTAAAAAGTACCTACCCTCCATAGCCAGTTTGGCTCAGTGGATAGGGGGTCAGCCTGCGGACTGAAGGGACCCGGGTTCGATTCCAGTCAAGGGTACACGCCCGGGTATCGGGCTCGATCCCCAGTGTGGGGTGTGCAGGAGGCAGCCAATGAATGATTCTCATCATTGATGTTTCTGTAGCTCTCTCCCTCTCCCTTCCTCTCTGAAATCAATAAAAATATATATTTATTTTTTAAAAAGTATCTTCCCTCCACCCTAATCCTGTTTCCTCTTCTAGAATCAACAGTTGTAAAGTTGATTTTACCCATAAAAAAATTCTTTACACAACAAGCATACTAGGTCTTGCATTTTTCAATTAATAATACAAATGGATGCTTCTCCCATATCTACACATAAATGCACCTCATTCTTTACCAGCGGCACCAAGCCCTCTAAGTCAGTGTGTTGGGAAACCACACCCCCAGGCGGTGGGCTTGCTGCCTGCATTCTTCAAACCCTGGTTGGGGCTTGGGGCTCTAAGTCCTAAGGGAGGCTGATTTGTGACTTCAGTGTTTTCTGTCTGCCGCCTGTATTAGATGTTAGTATCAGAGCTGGTTTAAAAAACTGCTTTCATTTCCTTTCTATGGTTCCTGGTATTGTAACATACAAATTTTTTTTTTGCTTGTTTGACCAAGTGATGCTGCTAAAAATCAAATTGTCAACTTATTCAACAAATGACAGAGCTAAGCAATTTCTTTTTATTCATTTGGAAATACGTTATGTAACTCTACTTCCGTAACCGATTCTGCGTGCAGGTTTTTACACCCTATTGTTTTAGCCACGGAGAAACTCGGCTGGAAACAGGAAAAGTGAAAGGAACCCTTAAGATCATGGGCCCATTTGTGGTAAAAATTATGATGAAATCAAAGACAGCAAGAATCAACCCACAGCGCTAACATCGGTGAATCCACCCTAGACTGATTTTAGAGACTGTAGTTGTGACCCTGGCGGGGAGGGGAGCAGGGAGGCGTGTGTTAGAATCAGCAGGACACGGCTGGAACCTGGCGCTGGGAGGGACCCGCTGGGTCCACCCCCAGGTGTGTGGACCTGGCTCCTACTTGCTAGCAGTGGGGCAGCCAGGTTGTTAGGGTGAATCTGTCTCTGACCTCAAGGACACAGAGCGGTACGCTCTGCCCATTGAACACGTCCACCTGCAAGGTCCCTCTGGGAGGCGGCCTGAGCCCTGCCATTCCAGGGTGGTCAGTAGAAAATCAGAAAAGACAGAAACTAACCAAAAAACACCCTGAAAGTTAAAATAGGTGGGTCTTTTCTTTAAAACACAAACACTAGCCCTAACGGTTTGGCTTTGGATAAAGGGTGGGCCTTCGGACTGAAAGGTCCCAGGTTCGATTCCGGTCAAGGGCACACGTCCAGGTTGCGGGCTCATCCCCAGTAGGGGGCGTGCAGGAGGCAGCCAATCAATGATTCTCTCTCACCATTGATGTTTCTATCTCCCTCTCCCTTTCTGAAATCAATAAAAATATCCTATCTAATAAAGAGGGAATATGCTAATTAACTCTCACACCATCGCAAAGATGGCGGCGCCCACAGCCAATAAGGAGGGAATAT